ATAATGCTTCTTTGTTTATAGATAGTTTTCTTTTTCTTTTCTATAAGTGCAGTTTTTGTCAATACAGATAAGTGTGTAGAAATTAGTGAATTTGAATAAGAGAAGTTTGTATTCATATATGATTTTGGGCTTGCTAAATTCAAATTTTTCAGGAAAAAATTTTGTTAAATTAAAGACAAGTTCCTTGTGAATTTGTGATTTAATATGCTTATAAGTTTCTTCCTTATCTAATATTGTTAAAAATTGTTGACAGTATATGGTGTATGTTGATTCAAACCATTTGTCTAAGTTAGTGAAAGAATCTTTAGGTGAGGAAATATTAAATTTTTCAAGAAAAGCAGTTTTAGAAAGGTTAAAAAGGATTGTAACATTGAATTTTTAGTCTGTTTTAAAAGAAAAAATTAGGTTGTTTTCGTTAGTTGATTCAATTTTAGAGATAACTTTAATGTATTTAGATCTGAAGTTGAAATCTTCAGCAAATTTGTTGTAGTTAATAGTTTGGTAATTGTTTGATAAGTAAAGGTGTAGTCATGCAAGATTAAGGTATACTTGTAGTTTGTTTTCAGGTTTATATGATAAAATAGAGATAGCTGATGCAAAGATTTCTTTGTAGTTGAGTTTGGTAAAAAGTATAGTAATAAATTTAAGAATGAGGTTTTTAAGCGATAATTTTAAAAATGTAAATGAAATTAGAGCTTCGAGGATTATATTAGGGTTTTCTTTATAAATAAGGTCTGTAAGAAATTTAGGTTTATCTGATGCCATTATGTGAATAAGATATTGGAAGTTAGCTTTTATAGCAGATCTAGTTATATGGCCTTGTTGGTTTACTCTTGCTGGTTTAATTTCTTTGTTGGGGTAGAAGTTATATAGGAATTTTTTAAGAAAAGCAAATAGTTGATAAAAAAGTGTTGTTTGAAGCCTCTTATTAGGCTTCATTTCATCTGTAATTGGGTAATTTGGAAGCCAGTTAAAGGCTGGATTTGATTTAGGCTTGGTGTTAGGTTGGTTTTATTAACTATTAAAGGTTGATTGCTTAAGTTTTTGAGTTGTTTGTATAAAAGAAGATGAAGATTCTTGGGTTGTTTGTTTAGGATTAATTGGTTTGTCTGTTTCCATCTTGATTATTTGTGTATTGTCAGAGGTTGATGTAAGTGGAAGTAGTGTATCAAGAGGGTAGTAGTCTTGGTAGATGAAGTATTTTGATTCTGTTCTTTTTAAAATAGTTTAAGGCAATCAATATGAAAAGCCTCATTGTCATGAAATAAAACTTTATTTATAAGATAATAAATATTATTGATTTTTTTGTTGCTTATAACTGCACAGCATTTAGAGCATATATGCTGTTTGGATATAGAAGTTGGAGAAGCTGGTACTGTTTATGTTGATGATTGCAAGGCTAAAGAAAGTTTCTTTACTTGTTTGTTAGATGTTGTAGAACTGGCAGTTACTTGATACAAAGTTTGTATGAAAGCTACTATATAGACAAGTGATTATTTGGGTAGTTGGTGGTGCAGGTAAGAAGTGTGTAGATCAGTAGTTTCTTAGATTTTTAATATAATAGCTGGTAGGACAAAATTAAATAGAGATAATATTGATTTTGTCAGGTTCTTCTTCATAGATTGCTATACTAAAAGATCTGGTATAGTTAGCATAAAAGTAGTCAAGGTCTAAAGAGTCTAGAGTTTGAGTTATTGGAGCAGGCATTGTGTTGTTTAATATACAAAGTATTGATATAGAAAGTACAGAGTGCTGGTTTGCTTAAGAGTGCAAATTCGCTTTCTTTAGTAAAATTTAAAGTTATTTGATTTAATAGTTAAATAAATATAAGAACAGAGGTATTACTGCAGCTGCTGTAGCTTGTATAACCTTGTGTAATCTAGATATTCTAAAGTAATACAAATGTGGCTAGTGTTGCTAGTATAACTGGTGTGGCAAGTGTGGTACAAAATTAGTTACATGTTGTTTAAAATATTGTATAATAATATAAAGTTTGTGTTTAAATTAAAGAACTAATAGATTTATACTAAATAAATAGTACTGTTTAAGTAAATATTAATTTGCATAAAGTAAATTTAATTTAAACTATTTTTAGAAATGATTTGAGATTACACGAAAAATGAATTGAAAGAGAAAAGTGGGGTAAAGACAAAAATTTTTTTAAGAAGTTTAAAAAGGAGTAAAGATTATTTTTGTTATAACTCAGTTAATATTAGATTAAAAATCTTTATTTAAAGCTTGTTTCGACCAGAAAGATAAGCTCTACAACTTCTTCTTAAGGTTCAGTAGTAGTTGTAAAGACAGTTTTCAAGAAATAAGCAAAAGTTGAGTTTAAAAAAACCAAGAAATGTTTTGTAGTATAAAACTACAAGTTTTCAAGCTAAAGCCTTGAAACTTTTATAATATATGTAAAATTATAAAAAGAACAATTTTATTTAAGATATAAAGATTTGTTTTCTTAATAAATTATTGAGATATTAGCAGTTTTATGATGCACAAATTTTTATTTAAATTTGTGTAAAAGATTTACAAAAAGAGTTTTTACTGATATATTATTTGATATATTAACTAATATGTTATTTGGGTTATTATTTAGGTTGTTATTTGTATTGTTATTAGGTATATTAACTAGGTCATTAACTGGATTGTTAAATAGATTATTAATTAGGTTGTTAAATGAATTATTAACTGAAAGATTAATTGGATCATTAATTAGATTGTTTTTTTTTTTTTTTACAGTTTATAAAACGATCTCATTGGTCGGGGGTTTTTCTTTATTATTAAAGTATCTGCAGTTCATATTTTTACGGAAGGGTTTACAGTAACATATCAACGAGGATACAATAAGCCACACGTACAACTTTAGTCATTATCTATTTAAAGGTTCTGCCCATAGGTTCCCCACTCATTACCATACCTAAGACCTGCTTGTGAGTCCTCTATTTAAACTCTCTAATTTTCAATGTTATTCTGCTCACGTGATCCTTAATTTAAGAACTTGGTCCAACCTTCAAGCTATTTTTACCTGTGAGGTAAATTCTACTAAAGGAGGTAGTTCCCACAGCCACACCTTATCCAGATTTTATTGCACCAGAGGTGATTCCATATTAGGTAAGGCTAATCCTTTCCACAAACATTAGCAACATTCTTCACATTTCTCACTATAGTAGTGCCCGTGCTCTGCCATACCGGTTTCCTTCTGGAAATTCCTTAAACCAAACGTGTACCTTCACTTGGACTTCCACAGGGCTTCGTGTATGATTATAGGCTCCTTTTTAGGTTACAGAGTATTCTACCTCCAGCCAAACTCAAACTGTCGACCTTGTCTGTGGGGGGACGGGAGTTTATCTATTAAGCTATGAGACCCAAACCCCATTAACTAGATTGTTAACTAGGTTGTTAACTAGATTGTTAACTAATAGTCCAAAAAATATAAAAACTCTGACTTTTTCTCTAAAACAAAGCAGACTGTCTCTTACTCACTTTTAATTTCTTGTTATTTATAGTTTATTTTCTTGAAAGTGTAGCTATCACCTACCTTCTTTTTATTGTGTTTAATAAAGTTTTTATTGTGTTTTTATTATATATTTAAAGTTGAGCCATCATTTCTTCTTTCTTCTTGGAGTATTTATTTTTGATATATTGAGTTGAGCTATCACTTCTTTTCCTTTTTCTTGAATATTTTATTATATTTTAGAATTAGAGTTATTGTTTCTTTTCTTTATTTTTAGTTTATTGTTTTATTTTAAAGTCTCTTTTAATAACTTGTCACATGCTAATTTTCTTATTCTAAAATTAGATACATACAATTATATTGATCATTTTGGATCATATTCAATTTTATATAACAAAAGGTGATTATACAGTCAACTTTTGCTATAGTCATATTGTCTAGCAAAAACTTGATGTGATTATAGTAAGAAAAACATAGTCATAGTAATAGTCACATGATGTGATTATAGCAAGAGCTAATTTCATAATAACTATAAATGATTGGTATATAGCTTTAAAGAATTGTGACTATTACAGATATAACTATAGTAGGAGTTGATTGTAATTAAGTTATAACAAGTCATAAGGTTATAATCTATAGTTAGCCAATAGGTTATAACAGATCATAGGCCAACATTACGTGCAATTGATATATATTTATAGACAAGTATAAAATCTTCATGTACAGTAATATAAACTCTAACCCTAATATTAAACAAAAAACTGTAAATAACACAAAATTTTACTAATATAACCAGCTATGTACTTATAAGTATAAATGTGTAGCATAAAATTTTACATATAGCAAAGCTGTTTTGTACAGTATTAAAATAAACAAAAAAAGAGGTATTATTAGAGTAGTGACAGATATTACGTAATATTTTTTTACTATACTCTCTACCCCCCTCTCCCCCACATAAGAGAAATTTGATTGGCTATTATAAATTTATATATCAATATAAGATATCAAAGACCCCTCAGAATATTACGTAATATCTGTCACTACCCTTATCGAAATTGTGTTTTAAGAAATAAAAACGAAAAACAAAAAACGGTAGTCTAAATCTGCCTCAGGTAGGTTAATTGAAAATGTCGGGAAGGCAATTTTGCTTATATATAACTACCTAAACCTAACCTAACCCCAATATAAGATGACCCTAACCCTAATGTTAATTCAATAAAATATATATTATAAGAATCTGCTCCGCTTTAGACGTCCCCCAAATTTGGTAAAATCCCTGATTGTAATATTTAGAATCATAGAGATTATCGTTATCATTGAATTAAAAAGATAGGTTACTAATGTACAATTGGGAGAGAGCCAATATGTGGCACTACGTAATATTTATTTCTTACCATATTAGATATAGCCTGCCATTTTACGATAATATAGTACGTAATATCTATCTATTTATAACTTAACAATTGCACGTCAGCGTAAGCGACGGGTTATTATTTTCCCGACAATATGGTAAGTGACAGCTTCACTTTTCACGGATACGTTAATAATGGAAGAACATAAGGCGGCATTAAATAATTTGGTAGATGGTGTGAATGGGTTGAGAGTTGAGAACGGTCCGAAGTTTACAACTAAACTTCGTTTTTATCTTAACGGCACAAGTGTTGAGATAAATAATCCAGATCCTGACACTACCTTACTTCAGTATGTTCGATCCGTTGGACTGACTGGGTATGTTAAGATTAAAATGTACTATTATTTAGAGCTTTATATTACTAATTAATTGAAATTATTTATCAGAACAAAATTAGGGTGTGCGGAGGGCGGTTGCGGTACGTGTGAAGTTCTCTACTATGTATTACAGTTTCAAATCTAATCGATTATTATTATTATTTTTTATTACAAAAGGTGCCTGTACTTTAATGATCTCTTCCTATGACAAAAGTTCCAATAAAATTACGCATTGCTCAGTTAACGCGTGTTTGGCACCATTATGCTCCGTTGATGGTAAACATGTTATTACAATTGAAGGAATTGGAAACGTTGAAAATCCTCATCCTGTTCAGGTTTCATATTTTCACATTTTGGTCATATCGAGTAATATTGGAATTTAACATTAAATTGACCAAATAAATTATTAGGAACGAATAGCTTTGTTACATGGGTAATTAATTTCAATTTCATTTTGTAGCTGTTCTAAATAATTTATATGTCTCAACGCAAAACTAAATACTCAAAATATTGATTTTAGTTCCCAGTGTGGGTTTTGTACTCCAGGAATAGCAATGTCACTTTATTCTTTGTTGCGTAATAATCCTAATCCATCCGAGAAAGAAATTGAAGAGTGTTTTGACGGTAACTACAACTATACTCTTAATTTGTTCGCTTACTTAAAATTAGATAATAATTGTGTTCTTTTAGGTAATTTGTGCAGATGTACTGGATATCGTCCTATTTTAGATGCGGCCAAAACGGTAAATTATTTCTTCATTCTTAGAAATTTATCATTTTAATTAGGAACTTCTATATATTAATGTTCGTTTTTATTTTGTTATAGTTTGCTGATCCACCCAAGAATTGTGAAACTTCAGAGGTATAAAAGAATATGTAGTTGAATACTGTATATGAATATATATGAATATATATGACATTCTTATTGAATTAATTTGTTATATAGAGTTTGGGATGTGGTAATGCAGATTGTTGTAAATTAAACAATACTGAAAATGATACTACTTTCGATCTTAAATTTCCACAAGTATGTTGTATTTATTATTTTTATTATTTATAATTTTTGATTTATAGCTTTATTAATTACGTCAATTCAAGGTACATTTCAAAAAATATGACAAGACACAAGAGTTAATATTTCCTCCGTCGCTCATGAAATACATTCCCGAGCTTCTTTGCTTCTCTGGCAGAAAGTCAACATGGTTCAGGCCCGTTAACTTGAGTCAACTATTATACTTGAAATCAAAGTATCCGTATGCAAAATTGATATCAGGTAACACTGAAGTTGGAATAGAGATAAAGTTTAAAAAATTAAGATATGATGTTCAAATTTTTGTGGGTGATATACCGGAGTTGAAAACCTGGGAATTCAAGGGTGAATTTTTACTCGATTCCTATAATATAGTCTTGTGTAAATTTTGCCTTTTTTTATTTATTAGTTGGGTACTTTATTAGATGATGGATTATTGATCGGCGCAAATATAAGTCTTTCGACACTTCAAGAAATTTTACAAGATGCACTCAAACGTTACGAGGTTTGGATCTTATACTAAGATTTGATTACGGCCGTATGAAATTAAAAATATTTAAGTAATCCCATTTATTATTATTATTTTTTTTTTAAAGCCTTATCAAACACAAATATTTAAGGCACTTTTGGAAAATCTTCGCTGGTTTGCTGGCAATCAAATCCGTAACGTAGCAACGCCGGCGGGAAATATTGTTACGGGTTCTCCGATTTCTGATCTGAATCCCATTTTCCTTTCATCAAAAACACTATTTATTCTTTCTTCTTTAGAACCATCATCCATGGTAGCAACAGATCGAACTGTTTTATCTGAATCATTTTGGACAGGATATAGGCAAAATTGTTGTAAAGAAACGGAACTTTTAAAAAAAATCTTTATTCCCTTCACAAAGCAAGGACAATATATTAGAGCTTACAAACAGGCTAAAAGACGTGATGATGATATTGCTATTGTCAATGCTGGGTTGTCTGTATTATTGGATGATGATAACAGTGTGAAAGAGGCTTCATTTGCCTTTGGGGGAATGAGTTGGGTTACTGTTAGAGCACCTGAATCTGAGAATTTTGTTTTGGGCAAAAAGTGGGGTGACCAAAATGTTTTAAAAGGTCTTCTTGAAAAGTCGTGTGAGGTACATATTCCTTTTTAAATATTCGTTCTAGATATTGCAATTATATATTTACAATTATGTATTTTTTTTTATTGGATATATGTAATAGGAATTTCAAATGAACTTTTCCACACCTGGCGGTATGGCGACATATCGCAAATCATTAGTTGCAGGATTTATGTACAAGTTTTGGTACGATGTTTCAAAATCTGCTAATATAATAGTGGATGATTGTGATGGTGGGATTGAAAATTTTGTTGGAATAATTGAACGTGATATTTCAAAAGGTGTTCAGACTGTTGGGCAAGCAGAGTAAGTATTTTATTCTTTCTATCTAGTATTTTCTTGTTAACGGAAAGCTTTAATGATACTCTCTTTGATAGGGAAGGCAAGAAAATTGTTGGCAAACAAGTTCCTCATGTATCAGCTATGAAACAGGTTACTGGTGAAGCGAAGTATACTGATGATATACCAAAGGTTCATGGCGAATTATATGGAGCATTGGTTTTGTCACAAAAGGCTCATGCAAAAATATTAGGGTAATTAGCTTTATAATATAATAAATAGTATTATTTTTAGTTTAAACTATTAATATATGTTAATAGAATTGATGCAACTGAAGCATTGGCTCAACCTGGAGTAAAAGGTTTCTTTTCGGCAAAGGATGTGCCAGGAAATAATATTTGGGGACCCGTGTTACGTGACGAAGAGGTTTTCGCCAGTGAAGAAGTTAATTGTGTGGGCAAGTTATTTAATATTTTATATTATAATAATACGTTTTACAGTCGATTCTAAGCTTCAATGCTGTAAGATAACGATGGATTCTAGAAGTTGTTTAGTGTATTTGTTGTAGCAAATAAGATTGTACTTACAAGTAGAGTTGACTGTAAACAGGAGGGTTCTTCATTTTATTTTGTAGTCAATTTGTAACTAACAAATTCATCTACATTATTATACAGGACAAATTATCGGTTTAGTAGTAGCTGAAACACAAGCAATTGCACAAGAAGCAGTGGGTTTGGTGAAAGTACACTATTCCGAGTTGCCTCATATTTTAACTATCGAAGAGGCGATTGAAAATAATAGCTTCTTCCCAATGAATAGACGTATAGTAAGAGGTGATGTAGAAAAAGGTTTGGAGGGTGCTGACTTTGTTTTTGAAGGTATGATGTATCAAATGACCATTTATTATTCAATAAAAAATCTTATATTAACTTATACTATTACGCAGGTGAAACAAGAATTGGTGGCCAAGGTATGTTTTTTTTTTTTCTGAATTAATTATTTGTTGTACTTATTAGCATGTCCGGAATGCGTGACAGGTTGATCGACAAAATTAAGAAAAATTTTTTTTTATTTCAAAATTTTGCCTATGAAACTGCTCTTGTGCTCTAAGAAAAAAAATTTTACTCATAATTCTGGTTTGGGTTTTGGCTAAATCCTCTTTCTATTTCCAATCTGACCCTAACGATTAAAATCGATTTAATATTAGCGATGTTGATCAATTAGCATAACCTGTCACACATTCCGGTCTTGCTACTTATTAACCATGTATTAAGCTTCATCTAAATTGTCTTAGAACATTTCTATTTGGAGACACAAGCTACGTTAATAATTCCAAAAATCGAGGACAATGAATTCGAAATTCATTCATCAACTCAAAATCCTACCGAGACACAACTTGAAGTTGCCTCAGCACTTGGTATTGATGCAAATAAAATTGTATGTCGAGTAAAAAGGCTTGGCGGAGGTTTTGGTGGAAAGGAAACGAGAAGTATTCCTTTATCACTAGCACTAGCAGTTGGCGCATGGCATCTTAAAAAACCTATTAGATGTATGTTAGATCGTGATGAAGATATCATCATATCGGGACAAAGACATCCTTTCTTAGGGCGGTGGAAAGTTGGGGTGACTAAGGATGGAAAATTACTAGCAATGGACGTACAGGTAAAAAAAATTTACAATTTGAATCTTTTAAACTTTTTTCTTTTTTGGCTATTATAAGTACAGACTATTATAATATTTACAGGTCTACAATAATGGTGGTTGGTCAGCAGACCTTTCTTTAGCTGTACTTGAGCGCGGCATGACACATTTAGATAACTGTTATTATGTACCAAATGTACGAATAACTGGACATGTTTGCAAGACCAACATTCATTCAAACACAGCCTTTAGAGGATTTGGAGGTCCTCAGGGGATGATGATTACCGAAAATATGATGAGTGAGGTTGCCGATCGTATGGGTATTGATGTTAATGATTTTCGGGTATTCATAAGTCTTTTTTTTTTTTCTTTTTTTTTGTTTATTTATACATTATTGACTTTTTTTTCGGACAGGAAAAAAACTTATACGTAGAAGGCCAAAAAACGCACTTCAACCAAATACTAAAGGATTGGAATATACCTTTGATTTATCGTCAAGTTAAAAACGATAGCGAATTTGTTAAGCGAAGAGAAGAAATTAACAAATTTAATTCTGAGAATAAATGGCGGAAAAGAGGATTAGCGTTGATACCAACCAAATTTGGAATTTCGTACACAGCACTGCATCTTAACCAGGCAGGTGCTCTGGTGCACATTTATCATGATGGAAGCGTTCTTATAAGTCATGGTAAGTTATGGTACTCACAATTTTCTTATTGATTTTTGATATAAATTCTGGTTGCTAATTTTACCGATTTAGGCGGAGTTGAGATGGGGCAAGGTCTTCACACCAAAATGTTGCAAATTGCTGCTGAAACTTTGGATGTTCCATTGGAAACTGGTATGCATATTTTTAATATTTGTGGCTTATAAAGTTGATAACGTATATTGATAATTTCCAATTATTTATTTATTTAAATAGTCCACTTAATGGAAACTGCTACAAATTTAGTCGGCAATACTTCAGCAACGGCAGCTAGTGTTAGTAGCGACATTAACGGATATGCTGTATCAAATGCTTGTAAAACTTTGGTCGAAAGATTAAAACCATATCGGGAGAAAATGCCTAATAAAAGTTTTAAGGAGGTAATATTCATTATCGTCTATTATTACTACTATGATATTATAACCGTTGTAAAACAAAATTTGTTCAATAAATATAGATCGTGCATGCTGCATATTTCGATCGAGTAAATTTGTCCGCTAATGGATATTACAAAACTCCCGATATCGGTTATAATTGGGATAAAAACGAAGGACAAATGTTTTTTTATTTTACAATGGGTGTAGCATGTACAGAAGTCGAGATTGATGTATTAACAGGCGATCATACAATTTTGAGAACGGATTTATGTATGGATATTGGTAGAAGCATAAACTATGCGATAGATGTAGGACAAATTGAAGGTGCTTTTGTGCAAGGTGTTGGTTGGTGTACTATTGAAGAAACTTTACATTTTCCAAATGGACATATATTTACTAAAGGACCTGGAAATTATAAATTACCCGGATTCAGCTTTTTTTTTTAGTTAAGTCAAGATTTAGGTTAGAATTATTAATAAAAGAGTATAGGTAGATTTTGGTAGGGCTGATATTTTCAAATTGAGACCCCCAAATTTCACGATAATCCGCGACATTATTTATTTATTGATATAAACACGAGTGTAGAATCGAGGTTCGCTACCAAGTGATTATCTAACAATGAGAAAATCAACATATAATTTAAACTCGTAATTTTGCAATATATTACTCCCTCAAACACATTTCTAGGCTAATCTACGCCCAATTAAAATCATTATGCGGATTTAAGGAATATATAGAAAACATAGAATACAATATATAAATACATCAAAACTAGTATTTAACTATCAAGAAATATAATCAGCGACTAAGAAATAACATACAGCTTTAAAATTGCTAGACAAAACCTAAACTCTAAGAACCCACGGGCTCTCTCCATCCTTTCTCTCAATTTTACAATTTCTTACAATCTCATCATCACATGCTAATCTAATCCTTTCAGGCGTTGCGGGTGAGCTTAAAACTACAATAGCTTCGTTGTTATTAGATTGTCTGTTTTAATAAATGAAACGTATAAAATCAATAAATTTAAAAAGTAATAATATCTCAAATCAGTGAAGACCAAAACTCGAATGTACCTTGTAGATTTAATTGCATCCCTAATAGCAAAGAACACAGAACTTCCTAAAAATAATGGAGGTTCACCTACACCTTTACTACTGTGAATAGTCTTTAAGTTAGTATACGTAACATCTTTTAATGTATATATTCTAAAATCTTGTGGTATATCCCTATATAAAACAATTTCAGAAGAGATAGATTATAGATAGATTATTATACTAAACCTTTTTTTTTTCCTACAAAAAAAAAAAAAAAAAAAAAAAAAAAAAAACCATATTCCGGGTAATTTAAAATTGCCCGGACCTTTGAAAAAAAAAAGCTCATTTGGAAAAATTCAGGATTTTCCATAATACAACAA